GAGTTTATGAATAAATACTTTTTTGTATTTACTTATAAACCAAGTTAAATTTTTATGTCTTTCTTCTGATATTTCACATATTTTACCAGTAAAGATTGTTTTACAGTACTGGTTTACAATTTCAGTTTTTTTAGAAAATCCAAGCAGAATACCATCGGTTGTTTGAATAAGGAGTCAAGATAATCATACTCTCGAAGTAGACGAGGAAGATAATTACTGCTATTATAAAATAATGCGAATTGTTCTCAAATTTAGATTTTTTTAGAGTAACGGGTTTCGATGGAAACAAGAAATATCCATTAAGATAGAAAGCATCTATTGAAGAAATCTTTTACTCACCATCGAGATAGAAACAAATAAAAAATACTATGACACCATTTGTTATTGCTGTTAAACCCATGCATGCCTCCCTTTTTCTTCTCTTTTTTAGTTTGACAGTTTCTTTTTTGCGATGACGATTTACGATAGTAATTTTTCCATGGATCCGCAATAAACATAATTTTTTTCGAAGCCATACCCCAGTAAACGTTCCCCCGAATAATCGGAGTTGATTGTATACTACAAGAATTTAATAATTAAAAATTTAAAGATTTAATTGAAGTTAATGAAGAGTAAAAATACAGAAAAACGTTTTTCCTATTCGTTTGTAAACGCGTATTCAAAATATTGAGCAGAAAATTATTTAGCGTCTCTTGCCACCCAAGAACAACTAAAAACAATTTTAACTTGAAATCCCAAGAATAAATAAAATGCTTGAAATAAATCTTTTCAGTAGCTATAAATCCTACTTTTCAAAGATGACTGAAAATCTTTTCGAAAAATCTTATTCTCTTCAGTTTTATTAGCTAATCCAAAGTGACTGAACTCAAACGATAATTCTTTCTTGTGCACTGTTGGAATCGTGCCAATTCTGAAATTCATTACAAATAAAGGTGAATGACTTAGTCGAGAAATTAGTCAAATATTTTCTCGCTTAAGTGTCAACCAAGAAATCATCTCGAAAAGCGCGCTCTCCCGAAATTAACTTTGGAACTATTTACTACAGAAGAAGCAGTGATTTGTATTCCATATATAATTTTTTCACGTTAATTCTCAAAATTATAGCAGTTGATTCTACTTAAGAATTATAATTATAGAATGAAATTATAGATCCAGGCGTTACACACCTTTGCGCGCTTGTACGCCGGCAAATACGGTAAGTGTGAAATACTCGTCGAATCTACGTTGAAGTCTTAGCCAATTTTTCAAAAAAATCTCTATTAAAATGGCCTGTCCAGATGGGAGGCTAGTCACTCTGATTGCTCGTGCCCGCGTTGACTCGATTAGGCCCGGATTAGGCCATAATAAAGTGAGCACCACTTCCGGCCTTACTTAGTAGCAAAGGCTTATAATAGTTAGTGCCTGCAATAGGAAATTTTTAAAAAAAAATTTAATGTTTAGCTATATTGTATTCTAAAATGTGCAATGTTTTCACATTACAATGCCATTACTGTGAATTTTTCAAATCTTATTGAATAAAATAGCTTGGCATCTGTAGCCCCGTTCATCTAAGTCATATGGAGAACAAATTAATTCGGATACGCTAATTGAATCAGAATCCGAAGGGAAAAGAATACCTAGTAAATAATGGAATAGCAGCATCATTAAAATGAAGAAATCAGGTTATATATTGTGAAACATAAGGAATGTTTACTGAGTTCAAATTTCGCATAAAAAATCGTTCCTCTGCATAATTAATTCTCTTTGTCCGTGCTTATATTACTTCCTACCTTATGCTTCTTCTAACTGTATTTTTTTTTTTCAATACCCTTGTATTTCGGTAAAAGTTAACGGGAAATAGAAAATTAATAGCTAAAAACGTGATTTATTTTTACGACCAACATTTTACTTTTAAAGGCTGATTTAACACAATTACATAGGGCGATTCCATAAATAATGCAGTTTTTTTATACTTCTCATATTTTTCAAAATTAAGATAATCAAAGTTATTTTCTAATCTAAAGTATAATTTTCCTTCATACTCTGATAGTTCCTTAAGGGTACTCATATACCTTACATAAGATCTTCGAATATGTGACTGTTTCGAGAGTTCGGATAACTTATATACTTTAAAAGCAATTACTTCCATCTTTTTACAGTTGACTATATAATGTAGCTGCTTTCGGAAATAGTAATCAGACAGTTTGTGTTGCCACAAATATTTTTTATAATTTAATCCGCTTTGTGACAAAATTTTTTTCGGCATGTTTCCACCTTGCGCGCACAGTTTAAAATATTCTGTTGCATAATTCAATTACATATTTAATATATAGCTTTTATAACATTTGGAAACTACTGTGAAACAAAAGTTCTAAGAATTTCACGTTAAATTTTTATTTTATTTGGAGTTGAGTTTATGAAAAATATTTTGTTAAAAAAAATCTGTTATGTTTTCGTGCATAAAATTTTTTTAATATTAAAATATTCATCAGATTTTTGGTTCAGTTAGAATATAGTGTCCATATTATAACGTTGCGCGCCTACAACTTGCACGCAACCAAGGGTGACTGTGAAAGCTTGTATAAACCACAGAGTCTTGTAAAGGGTTTAAGTCCCTTTTTATTCAACGTAATGAATTACAATTGCGTTCTCTTGACGCTTACAAACGGTGCCAACTCGGCAGTCAAAATAAAAATAAGAACCTGAAAAGAAAGTAAAGACAATATTCTAACTACGAGGCTCTCTCAAATAACTAACTCACCGCGTTTTACAATACGGCTGCTAATTCAGCGACTGAAGCTCACTGGAACAATTGCAAACTACTTCCCGCCAAGCACATAGGCCGCAACGCGGGGTTCTTCAATTCTCGATTTCTACCTCCGCGCTCGCTAAGTAAGAATAACTCTCTCCGAACTCGTTTCCTTCTATTTAAATCATACTACTTCCGCTGATAATTTGAATGCTTGCGCGTTCTACTCAAATTTACATATTCTGGCATTGGCAGTTCCAGGGGAAAGTAAGGCTTGACAGGAAAGATAGTTTAAACTTAAAATAAATGTTAGTTAAAATAAATATAAACCCTACAATATAAAGAATTCCATCAAATTTCAAATATGTACCATTAGCCATTTTTAAAATATCATGACCGCAAGTTGGAAACATGACGAAAAATTTTGTCACAAAGCGGACTAAATTACAAAAATATTTGTGGTAACACAAACTTTCTGGTTACTAGTTCCCAAAGCAGCCATAATATGTTGTCAGCTGTAAAAAGTTGGAAGTAATTTCTTTTAAAATAAATAAAATATCCCAATTCTTCTTGCAACAGTCACATATTCGAAGATCATAAGGGGTTTAAGGTGTATGAGTCTCCTTAATAGCTACGAAGGGATTTTAAGCCACCAGGGTTTGAAGGATGTCCTCGTTGACATCTTCCGGGAAGAGGCTTGTTTTCTAGGCTGTAGTTTCTGCCACGGAACCATCTTTGATATTAGCTTACGCTTATTGCTGAATCCCCATATACTGCACAGAAATTCCTACTAGTAATTATTTAACAGAACTTATAAAGCAAAAACATGCCAAATATGTTCCTTTGCCTTTACCATTTAGCTTTAAAATAGTAACTGTTTGAATGGAGCTGCACTGTTCAAAACCTGCTCTAAAAATGAGAATAAAATAAAGTTACTACTTGTTTTTATAGCAAATTGATGCAGATAGTTTACTCCATCTTCATGCGTCTTTTAGTTCAACTGAAGAAACCGTAATATTTATGGAATCGAACCGAATCGAACAATTATAGCCGAATTATCGCGCAAAGCGCGATGTTACCGGCTCAGCGAAATATGCCCAGTGGACACCTGACGTTAAAAGTTTGGACGTGGAATTGCGAAGGACTAAGGTGGGAAGGTAGAGGGTGTGACCAAGAAGTCACATGGCCCAAGAGAGCGCAGAGAACCTAAAAGGCAAATTATGGGACGACTTAATATATTCAGGGTAACGTGCAATTAAATTATGCGTACAGTGGTGGATAAATATAGCTACCAAATACGAGAAAAGGGGACTTTGACTGCGATAGCGCCATTTGCTATATCACTACTGTAATCAATCCTCCACATTTTTTCACGATTTTCGTAGACACTTTTGCTCTACGCTGATTTACCATTATTCCACAATAAAGAAACTTGACGTTTTTCAGACAAGGGCCCAGTTTATCCTCATTGCAAATTAACTGTACCCGGTCTGAAGAAACTAATTAATTTGTGATATGTCTTCTGGTCTGATTACCTTCTGATATTTCGTAAAGGAGTTAAGTGTAGTGCCATTGCATTAGATTTCCTATGAAACAGAAAATCCTTAAAAGCCAACTTGTTTCTCAGTTTGTTTGTCAATCTTGAAATTGAATCTGAGCCATTTTCAGTTTTTTAACTTCATACAAAGAAACACGGGAAAAATTTCTTCGTTATTTTTAATTGGATTTAAAAATCTTAGATTTCATAACCATCGTTGTAAGTTAAATTCCGATAGATTAAAACTTAATAAAAACTACCAGCAAGCTGTGAATAAAAGAAACCTTCCCAGCTGTACACAAAGCTGTTATTAGGATATTTTTATGAGAAAATTTGAGCGATGAATGCTGAATAAAAGATCAGTTTGTAAAACTTTCCTCTCGGGAGTTAATGCCAATTAAAATGTTTTGTTTGCACCTTTTTAACGTTATACACATTTTACAACTGCGTGCTTGAATGGAATTTGACGAAGTGGGAAAGATTCATTTCACACTGAATGTATCAACCAAAGTATTAGACTAAACCTATTTTACTTGTTCAATGAAATGAATTGAATCTCTTGGGGTTGAAAATGAGTTTTTAAAAGTAGTACGAACAATGTAAGGTGCAGTACTGCAGCAAAAGCAGAATGTAATTTATCACAAATTTCTGCGTTTATCTAACTGATTTAAAATTTTTATTTCATTTTTTCCCCCAGCTTTACATAAATTTGTTAATTTCTTCCTTTTCTTTCAGGTATCGATTTTAAACAGAAAATAGTTAATCTGGATGGTATGCCCATTAAACTTCAAATATGGTAAGATTTCTTCAAAATTTAATTGAGCAATCTGATGTCTTAGCGGCTGTAGAGTTAAATATGTATTAAAATATTTACAAGCGTGTTTTATAAAGTAAGTACCGTTTAGAAATTCCGGTCCTGCAACCCTGGGGTCTACATTCCACAGGTGCAGTTTACCTACATTCGTTTGCAACCCACGGGCGCCATTATGGGAATTTTCGACTATGTTAATATTTGCTTTTGAGTATTTAAAATGCCTTCTCCGTCTGAGAATCCCGCTGACTGTGAAATATGATCGCTGATTCTTTTTCTAGTGCTAGAGACGTGAAAGCAGCTGCAGTTCGTCAGATTAATGAAGTGTACGGAGAAAACATTATGAGTAATGGAATGGTACGGAATTATGTTAAAGCTTTTAAAGATGGCGGCACGAATCTTGCTGATGATGAACAAAGTGGGCGACTTTCTGTCATTACTGAAGATCTGGTGTAGAAAGTTGACAACCGAATGAAACTGAAGACATGCTTTATGATTATGTCATTATTTGGTGACTTTCGTCGGGTTTTCAAGTGTTTTACATGAAATTATAAAGGAACGTTTGAATTATCGAAAACTGTGAGACGCTGGATACCGGAAATGTTAACAGAAGTGGCACAAAACTAAAAGTTTAAGTAGTGCTTTAACTTTCCTTCAGCTGTACAGTGAAAAAGGTGATGAATTTTCAAGCCAAATTGTCGCATACGACGAAACCTAGGTGCCTTACGCTACAAAAGAATCGAAGCAGCAATCCATGGAATGGCGGCACTCACCATCACCCAAGACAATGAAGTTCAAGCAAACAGTTTCAGTCCGGAAAATCATGTGTATTATATTTCGGCACAAGAACGGAGTGTTTTTGTGGATTTTTTGCCAATAAATACTGCGACGTATTTTGGGACCTTAAACATACTGCTGTGTGCAATTTAAAACAAATTTCCTGGTATGCTGAGTAGGGGGATCGTTTTTCTTCATGACAATGCTCGTTTACACGTGGCTAAACGAACTCAATATCTCATCGCGTCATTTCGATAGGAACAACTTGATCACCCCGATCTAGAGCCCATTGACCGCCACCTGCTCTAAGTATCTGGGCGGTTTGCCACAACTGGGCGGTTCGAAACGATTATGAGATCAAAAGCACCGTGTTACAGTGAGTGTCATATCAGGCTGCAGTCTTCTAAGAAGACAAGATTAAAAACGGGTAGAATGGTACGATAAGTGCCTTAATATTAAGGGAAATTATACAGGAAAATAGAGTGCAGTACAGACTTTCGTAGACTTCCTCGAATAATCCGACAAGTCACCAATAAGCGCCAGGTCCATGGATAGCTCACGACTCCTATTACGCCTCACTTTCGCACACTGACAAGCGCGTTTGCAATAGTGCCATGCTCATTTAATATGAAATCGCATGGATTGGAGGAGAGTTGTTTTTAGAATGACTCCTGGTTCAAACTAATCTAAAATGAGCAGAAAACATCTGTCTGAAGACATCCAAGAAATCGGTTGGATAGTGACTTGGTAGTCGCTTGTCACGCAAACCGACAACAGGAAATTATGGCCTGGTTTGAGTTTCATTTGATAATCGGACCTCTTTTGTTGTTATTCGAGGCATCTTAGCAACACGGCAGTACGTAACCAATAGCCTACGTTTCGTTGTGTTGCCCTTCCTTTCTAAGCCCCCTGGGCTTACTTTTCTACAGGATACGGCAATCATTTTGACTGATTTGTATTCCCATTGGCGGACACTTAGCCGACTTCGGCTTGGTCACTACAAAGGCCGAAGTGATGGCCACTTTATTGTGGAAGCACCTAATAGATGGGTCATCGTTATCTCCTTTGAAGGGATGGGCAATGACAGCCATGCATTCTCCAGGATTCGAATCCGAACCCTTCGATACCGCAGTATGCTCCACTGACCTCTGTACTGTCTGGACGGAATTTTGACTGATTAATTTCACTCTTTTCATATACTTCCATATCCAGCTGGATCACCAGATTTTTCCACATTAGAGCATGTTCGGAATCTGATAAGTAAGGAATTTCTCTCCTACAAGATGTCACTTATCTAACTTAACTATAGGACAGTTTGGCAAGAAATCCCACAGGTCATGTGCCAAATCTACGAATCAACGCTAAGCCGGATGATAGTTCATAAAGGTCATAAAAAAGCCAACATCGTATTAATTTATTCAATATATGTAGCTTTATCTCAGGAACATTTACTTCCTCCTAAATGTTGAACAGGATATTTATTTCCTTCTATATATTGATCGTTTTTTTCCCATACATATGCATCACAGTTAATGAATATTTCATCCCATTCGGATAATTCCTCAGTAGGTATATCATAATTTTTTATGTTTTTATAGTAGAGTGTATTTTAATTTTTGATTTTTTTCCTTATATGTATATGTTACGGTAAAACACCGAAATCTGGAGAATGTCAACATTCACATAGTCTCTTGGTGTATGTCCGAAATATTTTCCAAATACTCTTATTTCTGACTTACACCGGTCAATGTCTAATGGTGAATGTTGAACATATAACAATATTATATTTTCTTCTCCGTAATTCAGTCGCGAATAAACGCACTTGAGACTTGAAATAAGAACTTAAGAACATGAGGACCTAAAACACACAATACATTCAAATGAGAAAGGAAAATAATAGAAGTTAAAAACTTACTTAATTATACAGTACGTTGTAAATGAGAAAATAAAATAACAGTAATAAAAAACTTACTAAATTATGTCATTCAAATCTTATTTATTGCAACAACTTAAACTATTATGGCACTTAATGACCTCTCTTTTCGACTTTCACCAGAGCGTATCTGTGATTGTCGACATACACCGGTGAGGGTCCGAATATACAAGAATGTAGTGAAATATTCGGTCTTTCACCGACGTATTTGGTGAATGTTGATATTCTCCGGTGAAAGTCGACGTTCTCCAATTTCGGTCTTTCACGGTAACATATGTACGAAATTTATTGCATTATTTTGCTCTATTTTCAAAAAATAAATATGATAATCATAAAAGTTATCATTTAAATTCGAAATATACTTAGTTTAATTTTGTAATCAATCCTTGCTCTAATGATTATCTTGATTTAACGTAAAACAGTAAACAAAAAGCTACAATGCATTTTATAACAACAAAAAAATCGTCAGAAAATGTGCCAAGTTCATCTATGCAAGTACAGTACATATTTTTGTGACTAACATTGAATACTCGCTTGACCTGCATTTTGATTTACTGTTTACTCTGTTATTTTAATTCTTTGTTAAAAGCATCTTCCTTACAAAATTCTTCTGGGTGTTTCCAGAATTTAGAAAATAAAGTAGCTGCGGATGAAAGGTATTAAAATTCAAAAGTATGAGGCAAAATTTTACACTGATTCGAGACACCTGTTGCAATGGCATCATTAATCATCTTGCGTAGGATATCTATCAAATCCATGCAGTGTCGCAATAGTTAATATTCTTTAGTGAAAATAAATGCAGATAATTATTCCATTTCTAGAATGCTTAAAATGAGCATATCATTTCTATGCATACATTTCCAAGGACGAATGTTTTATAAATCATTGCATCCAAAGTTCGTTATTTATAAAAACGATTTCCTTTATGCCTAAAATGTGTCCACTTCATTCTGAATTTTAGGTAATTACATATTAAAATAAAAGCATGTATAAATGATTAAAATCTCGGAAGAATTTGAGAAATTTCGGAATTACGGTTTCATGTGAATCATCCTTCAAAACTGTAACTGCTCTGAAGGGGGGAAAAACAATTAATGGGATAAATTTAAAGATATTTCATCCATAAAAGTCATACATATTTCATTTTTAGTGTACTGAATATTAAAGAGTTATATTCAGTTCTAATTTTTTCTACTTCATTTGAAGTTTTGCTACTCAATAGGCTGACAGAAAACTATGCGATTTTCATAGATTTGAAAATAATCGTCTGCTAAGAAATTCCTATGCACAGAATTTAAAATTAGGCCAAATTCCTTCTTTTGTGGCATTAATTGTAGATAAATTCTCTATGTGTTTTCGAAGAACTTAGTGTAGATCTCTCTCTTCTTCGAGAAGGAAAATCCTTCTCTTCCTTACAAATTCCATTGCTCAAATAAACGGAATAAAATAAAAACAATTCAATAATAGGCACAATTATTATGACGAAATATATACCAAGCTCACAAAGGATAACCTGATACCAGAATGACAAGTAATATCAAAATAAAGAAAAGAAAAACCTAACAAAATTAAGTAAAGAGCAATAAATAAAATGTAAAGAGAAACCTGAGATAGATTTTCAGGAAATGAGAATCTCTAAAATTAGCATCACTCTTGAGATTACATGCTGCCTAATTTCAAAATTCAAGATGATGTGTTTGCTACTAGCCTCTGCTTTTGAGAATATCGTTGATTTTCCAGAGTTAATCTCGGTTCTTTTGCTTTTATTTATCACACTGATGCTTTGTTTCTTAACTCTTCTTTTAAGCTTCTTAACTCTTCGCTTTCTTCTTTGTTTCTTGAGTCTTGAATTAACTTTACATTTTAGTTTCTTTACATTTTAGTTTCTTTCATTTGTTTACTATTAGGCCTTTGTAAGTTAATTCTCGCTTTTTGTTTAAATCTGTAGGCTTTAGTGAACGCTAGAGTTGTTATTAGTTTTAATGTAATATATTTTCATCTTAAAAAATAACATTTTCGTATCTTGAAGGAAATAAGACCTGTGTTGGGTTCTTTTGAAATCTGTAAAGCCTCTTTAAACCTAATGAAAAACTGTTGCAAGGAATTGGAGTTACACATTATATTATTATTCTTAAATCTATTAAACTATCTTATTATTACTCTTAAATCTCTCCGTTATATTATTACTCTTAAAATACCAAGTAATCAAATTAGCAAAATTAGCAGACTGTCAGACGATTTTTCTTCCCGTTTTCCTTTCAGTTAGAATCATCAC